TTCGGAAAGTTTCTCCTCAAGAGCCTCTTGGAGAACCGGCACCTTAAACTTGAACATTCGGTGGTCACATCGGGCGAGGATCTGCATCAAATAGCGGACGGCACCATGGACGCGGTGGTGTGCACCTTAGTGCTGTGCTCCGTGACCGACATCAGGGACGTCCTGACGGAGGTTTTGCGAGTGCTCAGGCCGGTGAGTTGGGGCAGCGCGGGGGAGAGCGGGGATGCCGATTTGTGTGGTGATAAGCCCAGTTGTGTGTGCTGACCTGCTTTGAGAGTAAATGCAATCACCTGCACCAGGCCAAGATGGGGTTTAAAATCGACCATCACCCCCACGGCAGGTCTGGCTACCTGCAAGGTGGTGCCGATTGCCCGGGTAAGTGGGAGGCAACAGCTACTCAATTTGGGCAACCTGGCTCCTGCACTTGCAGCTGGGCAGCCTGCAAATACTCCAAGGTCAAAGCTGCTTCAGAAGGAAAAAGAAAGGAAAAACACAAACAAACCCCCCCACGCCAGCCCAGGCGGTGCTGGGAGCCCGGAGGAGGAGCAGAGCAGGACTGGGTAAGCAGGACCGCTGCAGTACAGCGCTGGCATGGGGGGGCAGGAAGGAATGTGCATTTTAACCCAGGTAAATTATTAACAAGTTCAGTTCATAGTTCGTGTTTATGCCCTAGCAATTCTCTCTCTTACCTTTTAAAACTTGCCCACCTAAGCAGGTATTTTCGTTACAATCTAAGGTGACACTTGTAAAATGTCACATTTACATATTGCTCTTCCAACACTTTTTTTTTCTCCAGTTATCAGAATAACTGAGGAAGAGTTTAAATTAAACTTAACACAAATCCTGTCCACACAGGTGAGCTAAATCTGTGTAACTGGTCAGAGTCTCCATGTGTAAATGAGACTTCAGCCCTGGACGTGGCTGAAAACCTAATTAATTCCTACCCTCTTACAAAGCAAAACTAGGGAAGAGGGACTAAGATCATTCCCAATGTGGCCCTCTTAGAAGGGGGAGGAAACTTTGAACCCTTGACTTCTTCGGTTTGGCTCCACTGAACAAGTTTAGAGGAAAGGTTTGCTTACAACACTAGATTTGCTTTTTTATTTGTTACTTGTAAACATGGAAAGACATTGAACAGATGTGGTCAAAGACACAATTAAACTTGACAGGGTTCACAAGACTGACGGCGACAAAACGATTTTGCACTACATAAACTGACCGCAGCCTCTCTCACCCTGGGACACTGCATTGCTGCTTGCTAAAGCGCTCTCACACGTTTTATAAACGTTAAGAAATAAACTCTTCTCCTTGCTGGTATGTAGGGTGAGCAAATCACATTTCACATTTCTCAGATGAGAAAACCTGAAACACGAGGACGTTGAAGTGGTTTGTCCAAGATCATCCGAGACAGAGACCAAAACCCGGTGGCAGCAGTGTCTGCCATCGGACGATACTGCCTCTTGCACCAGCCTAAGTTACGCCCAGGGGTAAACGAGCCGTCACCCAGAACTAACCACCATCTTCATCAAAAACTGAATAGGAGACACTTCCAGAGACTTCACAGTTCAAACCCAAGGTGACTCGAGCATGCACAACATCTAGGAAAGGCGGCTGGTCCTCAGAGAGGTGATAACAGGCAGCGTGTTTACCAATATGCAGAAGATAAAGTTCAGCATACAGAGGTGAACAGCCCTAAGTCCTTCTTAAATTTTTGTTACGGCACTGTTTTCCAGGGTGGAGCTTTCTACTTCTTGGAGCATGTGGCTGCAGATCATTCCAGTTGGACCTACTTCTGGCAAAAGGTCTGTGACCCAGTCTGGAAGTATTTTGGAGACGGGTGTTCCTTGAGCAGAGAGACACAGAAGGAGCTGGAGAAAATGAATTTCTCAGAACTGCATTTGAGGCACATTCATGTCACGCCTTACTGGATTCCTAGTAGTCCTCATATCATCGGGTACGCAGTAAAATAAACGACCACAAGCGCCGCAGGACTCAGGACCTGCCTTCAGTACTCCTTTCATGCTTTGTAGAAGGTTTTTCACCCTTACAGCCAGCCCAAACACAGCAGAGTAAAAGTAAGGAAAACTTCCCGAGCATCCACAGCTCATTCAAACCGGGAAACACATTCTTCCATTTGTTAGATAGGTTGTCTGGAAAATGCTCCTGCACGGGGACCAGGCAAACTGGAAAGAAGTCTAGGCAACACATTTCAGTCCAATACAAACCAGAGGACTCAGCATCTTTGAGAGCTGAGGAGGGGGAGAGGGAAGAAAGGGAACAGAAGATCCATGCAAGCAAGTCCAGAGGGCTAACGTTTTCCTCAGGGCGGAGAATAATGCCCAACCCCTCACGTTTCCAGTACAGGACACATACAGAATAGATACGGCATCAGGATGAGCGTTTTCATTTCAGCCTTCCCATTACGAAATGTATTTACGAGCAGGTGCTTGTTTGCCTGTGCCAGTGCCGTCTGCCCTGATGGGAGCCTCGTTTATTTGGGAAAGTGCTCATTACCCCCCGGGTCCCCGGCAGCGCTCTCACCACCCATTAGACGCTGCTCATGCTACCAGCGCAGATTTCGCTTGAAACAGCCACCTACAAAGCAAAAATGGGAACTTCTTTTTACACTGGGAGGAGAAAACTGGCGTGTATTAAATCAGATGGCAGAAATCTCATCTCTGCTGTAAAATGTTGTTCCTGGATCAGCCGCGTCCTTAGAGCCCTTTCGTCATGCTCTACTAACATGTTTTACCTATGCTTAAACTCTGCATTTTCGACTCTCCCCCCACTTTAGATCACACCTTGAAGAGGTCTCCTTTAAAAAAGCCAGGATTTCCATTAGAAATGTTTTCCAGTGAAACTCCCCTAGGACACCAAGGGAAGGTGCTGCTCCCTTGGCCGCTGTTCAACCTTTCCTACAATTTCCTGCAGTGTAGCAGCAAGGAATTAAATAAGAAAATAATGCATGCCTGTCTCTATTTTGTGCTCCATATACATCCAACCGGTCTACACAGAAAGTAATTCCCATTGTTCCGATTCGTTTCGCTGCCACGAGGCGGAGGTATGAAGGTGTGCCAACGGAGTTCGTTAATAAAGCAGTCTAATAGCGATGCCGCCGTATGCTGGATTTTATATTTGCTTTATTACCAGCAGAGGGGGAGGTGACTCGTCAGACAACGGGCCTGCCTGTCACTGAACACAAAACCAAAATTTCCAGTGCAATTCACGATAGAACTGCCTTTATTAGGGACCTTACGTCCTCCTTTCCCTCTACTAGGCCCACCTGGAGCAGAGCAATTAAAGGCGAGTGGCTAATCGACACTGCTGCCACGTCCTTTGAAGAAGCACTGGCGCCTACAAAGTTGAAAACAGTTTTACAGAATGCATTTAGCATAGAAGGGGCCGTTCATTGTTAACTCAAGCTTTAGAAGTTAATAAAACCAAGCCATACACTGTATGCAGTGATTACTGAATTAATAAATTGTTTTATCTCTGTTCCATGATTCCTACCAAAAGTCTGAAAGAGATCTAAAAGAAGCGAGCATATTCACTGCAAAGGAGCCCATATGCAGGTACCAAAGTATTTTAGATGTCCACGAAGTGGAAAGGCTGAAATCTGCTGTTGCAGAGAGAGCACAGAGCAAGTAGCTGACTACCTCATCCAGCTACTTACAACGGGGTGGTAAATTAACTCTTACACAAATGCATTTTTACTGAAGTGTTACTCAGACTCCTAATGAAATGCCTACAGCAAATCCAGAGTTCAGATCAACTTCTTCAGCTCGCTAAAGGCAGCATACGGTTGCTTTAAGGGAGATAACCGCTAACGTGAAACTGCTGAACACCAAATTAGGGCTTCCCATGACTTTCTGCCAGTGGTTACACACAAAGTTGTGCTGCGCAGTTTACCCCGGTTATGCAAGGGACTGGCAGCTCCTCTTCTGCCAGAGCTGGGACGCTACGGTAACAGTTTGGTATGCAGTCCTGCTCTTCCCTTCCTCGCCTGTGAGTGGACTTTAAAATCAGCTTTAAAGTCTACCAGATCAATCCAAGGAGCTGAATACACTCCAAGAGGAACAGAGCAAGTACATGAACGCAGCTCTGACTGAATTCCAAGGGCTCTAATACACAGAGGAACTCGTTTTGCTCAGCACGGATCCTCTGCCCCAGGCTGGAAATGACCGAGGCCAGCATTCTCTTCCTCCGTGCCTGCCTCGCGGTGCTCGCCTCGCCCATCTACCTGCTATCGTTCCTGGGCATATGGGAGCCTTTCTGTAAGAAGGTATTTTTCCCTTTCTTCTTAGAGAAGTTTTTTGCAATCCACGAAAAGAAAACAAACAAGCCAAAGCAAGAGCTATTTCGTAACCTACCTGACTTCAAGAGCCCCTCAGGAGAGCTGAAGCTGCTGGAGATCGGGACCGGCTGCGGTGCGAACTTCCAGTTCTACCCGCCGGGCTGCAAAGTCACGTGCACTGACATAAACCCCGATTTCCAGCAAGGCCTTTCGAAAAGCATGGACAAGAACAAGCATGTCCACTATGAGCGTTTCCTCGTCGCTCCAGGAGAAGACCTGCACCAGGTGCCCAGCGGTTCTGTGGACGCCGTCGTCGGCACCTGGGTCCTCTGCTCCGTGCACAGTGTGAACGGCACCCTGAAGGAAGTCCTGCGAGTGCTCAGACCAGTGAGTATCTGAATAAAAAGGTTTGTTACTACCTTATCATCTATTCCAGAGGTACTGCATCAAAAGAAAAAAAAAAAAAAAAAAGTTGGTTTTGAGGTTCCAGAGCCGACCCAGTTTTTTTCCCTA